CCATGCTTTCGCTCCGTTTCAACCGGTGCATCGGGTTTCCCGCCCGGGGGGAAAAAGCGTGCGGGGAGAATGAAAAAAATTCGGGAGAAAGGAACGATGAAATTATGTTTGTCTCGCCGGGGACGTTTAATGGGGGAATTTTCGGTTGCTTCTCCCTTATGCGGGCTCACCCTTTGTACTCGAGAGGGTCTCTTGTTTGTGTTGATTGTATTGTGTGTGCTGTTTAATTGTTGAGTGGATTTGATTGTATATCGAATATTGAGATGTGAGTGAAAGTAACGAGTTCAATTGACTGAAATTTCTGTGTAGGGACTTTAAGAGTGCATCACTTCATCTGTTTTCTTTTTGATAATTGTAAAAGATTAGGAATGGAGTTTGACTCGTCTGCTTTAGTGTTAAGTGTGTCGAATTTTGTCGTGGATGTAATCTGATGTTAAGATTGATGGAATGTTTAGTATTATAAATATTATATCATCGTTGGATGGAGCTCCGATGACGATTTTTCAGAATTAGTATAGATGAGAATATGGGAATTGAGGTAGAACAGTTTCATTTCAATATTCCATGCACATTGTAAATTTTAATAATAATTTTAGCAATAACTTTAATAGTAAATTTTAATAATATTGATCTATGAATATAATCAAAGAATCAATATACACACTGATACCTCGAATCGAGTCAAGAAAGAATGGTGCCTCTCGAGTACAAGGGGTAAAAAACGAAAAATCCAATGGAATCAAGGGAAAAACCAGTTTCGTTAATTATCGTCGAATGCACCGAAAGCTCTTCGAATTTGACCTGGACTCTCCCTCTCGACCTTTGTCTTCCAAACAAACGAACCCCACGATCTTCGACCTCACTGTGCACCCCAACAATTGTACACAGAGACAACCCTCCCCCACCCTGGATAGATTTTTCTCTTTTTTTTTCGTCCGTTTTAAAGGCGACTTTTTTTCGGTTTTCGTTACGTTTTGTTCCTATGTAGTTAATTTAATCGATGATCCGCTTCAGAAGCGGACGACACGACAGTAGACAGTAAAACTCTACTTTACCGACGGTATTGTCATGGTATCTGTGCCCATCGTCCAAGTCCAGATCAAAATTGTGTGCCTGTACGCCATCTCTGGTCCATTTACGGGGAAAAGAAACGATCGATCGGTCGATCGGCCGGATCGCGGTGTCCATTAACCGCCCGAGTCTCTTGTTTTCACCCCTTTGCACCCTTTCGTCCCTTAAATTTCGAGGAACTTACCTTTAATTCACGTGATCCTACCGTTTTCTTCGAATAACAGAGAATTCTTGGATAACTCCATTGTTTTCCTCCCATTTCCTTCGAATAACAGAGAATTCTCGAATGTTTTCCTCGCTTTTCTCTCATTTCTCGAGAAGAAATGGGAACATTTGAGTTTCAGAAGAATCGAGGAGATCGCCGAGACCGGTTTCTTGTTCGGTTGCTGGAGAATCGAGGAATGTTCGTTTCACGGTTTGAAAGTGACACTTTTCTCATTGGAAACTGCGTTGACGAAGGATCAGGCAGTATGCAGCAGTGGTCGATGAAATTTGCATTGTAAATTCGCAGGTGTGTGTTTGTAATTTGGCAATTTGAATTTTTGGAATGTGGGGTGATTCAATTTGTGACAATTGATTTCTATATTTCAGTGATTCTTATCCGTTGATGGTAATTTAATGGTAATTATTGAAATATAAATATGTAATGAAGTTTATTTTGTTGGAGAAATATTAATAAAGAAATTTAATAGTTTGACGATTGTTTCTTGGAATTTTAACTTTATTATATTATCCTTACTTTTGTATCAAGTTGAATTAAGGTGAAAGCGAAAGGAAATTTAGTTCTTTACATTTGGAATTCAATTATCTTCATTCTTTGACCTACGTGCAGACGTCTAAAATTAAAGAAGCTTTGCAAGCACATTCGAAACTTTTGAAGAGGAAAGTTTTGTTAAAATCGTATTATTCAAGATACTTTGTATCATTATACTGTTATAAGCTAAAAACGGAGTAAATTACTTTATACTGAAAATTCAGCTCACTTGTTCAATTACGTTTCCTCCGTAAATTTCATTATTAAATTGAGGCAAAAGGATCCGAAATGTAATCAGTGGACACTTCATAATGGTAACATTTATATTAAAAAAGGGAATGTTAACCGTTTGCACTCTGAATTTCTCTTACATTATTTCCTGGATAACTCAGTATTATATTTTAACTAGGATATTTTATTCGAATGGAATTATAAAAAAAAAGATAGTTTATTTTTGAAGATAGCATAATAATATAATCTATTTGAAAAATATCTTGACAAAGAATTATATCCATGAATAAAACTAACATCACGCTCGATATAGCGCAAAGGATTAATATAATCAAAGGAAGTTAGGAATGAAAGTAAAATTCCAAGTTAACCTTTGTACTCCTCCAAATGCGTTGTTCGAATCGATTTAATTGAAAATAGTTGGAATACTTCACGAAAGAATTTTCATTAAAGGTGCAATAAGAAAAAGTAAAATAAATAATATATCTCACTCGATCAAATAATTTTAGAAAAAATCCTCTTATATGAAAGATCTACTATTCAAAACTTCAAATACTTTATCTCAAATTTTCTATTTGCATCTAATCATTTCTAAAATATTCAGATCGAAATTTAACGTATCAAATAAATGTTCCAAAATATTTAAAATCAAACCTAAAAATTACTTTTACCATCATAAACAATTACCAGCATCAATAAAAATCATATCAAATCAATTTTCAACCCAAAATATTCAAAATCAACCTTAAAAGTTGCTTCCACCAACAGAATCACCAACACATTAAAAACAATTTTTCAACCCAAAACAAGCTAAAACTCAAAGACTGCTTTCATCAATATAATCAATTACCAATAACAACCCCAAAAATAATAAAAAGAATTCAACCCAAAGCATTCAAGCTAAAGTTCAAAAGCTACTGTTACCAGCATAATTACCAACAACACTCAAAGCACTTTTCCAAGGAAAACCTGAAAAACTGCGAAATAAATTCCGAATCTCTGCGTGATACCGAAAAATCTGGGAAGCTCTTCAATTCGATATCACACACCGCGACGCATTCTCCAAAAAAACAATGCAACGTTCAGCCCGACGAAATTTCCATGGCCACTGCCGCATTTCCAACGATTTTCCCCGGAGCCCGCCGGAAAAGGCGAGTTTGCCCGATTCCGCGGCGCGAACAAGCGGACCGTGAATTCCTCGTGAAACTGACACGAGATCCACCGTCGTGCTTGCCCCTCGCCCCCTCCCCGACACGATTTCAAGCCGCGCTCCTCCTTTTTCCTCGAAACGAGCGACTGGCAACGTTTCGGACTCGCAGGCAAGCTTGGGACATCGGTCTGCACTTAGCCCGTTCAGTTTTTGCGAATCCTCGGGCCACTTCACGGGAATCAGGGTCTAAGCGTGGCCATTGTTGGCATTGGTCTTCTTCGAAAGGACGATTGATCTTTCGTTTGATCGTTCAAATGGGATGGAAAACGGTGTCGGAGGATTTCGAGAATCGGATTAAGGATTCCTGGAACTTTCGGGTCCCCTTGAAACAGAGATCCATCGTTTAAATGAGGGTTCCAAGCCTTCGCTTTCTGGGTTTTCGTAGAATTCGATGCCTTCGAGCTTCTACGAAGGTAGAACATCGGTTACAGGTTATCCAAGGATTGTCCTGATGATTGTCCCGCTTAGAAACTTCGCAAAATGAACAAATTTGATTGGTAGAATTCATCCCCTACACGGAGATTGTCTTTGCTTCAGGAATTGTTCGAACGATGTTCAAGGATTAAGGTGTCCATGGGAAATGGATGTTGAGATAGTTAGCGAATCCTCCGAAGCCAAGAACGACGTTTTTATTCAGCGACGTCGTCTAAATAAAAATTCTCCCAGCAGCTCCTTTCAATTTCCGGCGGAGCCGCAATCTTCGAGCTCCCAGAAGGCCCCGAAACAATTTCCCGAAGTCTTTCCGTTGAGTCCTCACGTAATACTTCCCGGAACGAAGAATTTCCAGTCGAAAAATGACGCGAAAGGCCGGTCCAACCTCCGGCATGTCCCAATTCCTCGAGAACTTTCGCGCAAACCGGCGAAAAATCGCGTGTCAGCCGTCCTGGACGCGATCCAAGCGATCCTCGATCCTTCTATCGCCCGCCCGCCCCCTTCCCGTGCAGCTTTTACGTAGAACGTAGCACTTGTTGAGCGTTTCGCTAACGAATCTTCTATCGCGTGCCCACTGATTCCGCGAACAGGTGGTTAACGGACGCCGCAGCTGAGAAACTTCGATTTTTCCTATCGATCGTAGATCTATCGGTCGTTGTTAGATCAATTTTTTAGCAATCTCAATTGTCTCTATCCACATTCCTTTAAATTTCTTCTTCCTGCGAGCTCTACGAAGTCACGTGACTTTGATTTGCCAATTAGTTCCGCGAACAAGTGTTCAACGGAGGCCATAGTTGAGAAATTTCGATTTTTCCCATCGATCGTAGATTTGTCGATCAATTTTTTAGCAATCGCAACCGTCTCTATCCACGTCCCTCCGAATTTCCCATTTCAACACGAGCCCTACGTGCCTTCTTTCTCCTACTTCCTCTGAACGTCGACAGATGCCTCTGGAGCGAAGCTACGGGTCGCAGGGCCGTGTCAAAGGTGATCTCAGGCCCCGGGCACTCTACATTCGACGTGCCACTAGGTACACGAATTCTTTTCGAAATCCGTCGCAGCCACTTCGCTGCCTTTTTGTCGTCGAGTGTCGCTCGCAGGTGGCTGCCAACGACGCGGCTGAAGTGTCAATTTGATTAACACCGGGTTTTGCCCGATCTCCAGCGACGAGAATTCTCGTTGAAGCCTCTCGCTTCGCTGCTCGTCCATTTCCCGCCGGTTTCTTTGGCCTCGTTT